ATGTATTAAAGGACACTTGGATCATGTAAACTCTTTAATACCAGTAAAATAAGAAACAAGTTCACTCTAAATAATTCTTTTTTTTGTATCAGTATTATTAAGAACTCAAAGGAAAAGAAAAAAGGCATTTCTAGTCCAAATACTGCTAAAATGACTTCATTTTTTTTCATTTTATCTCCCAGACTTTATCCATGTAAATATGTAATTTTTAATAGGTTGTAATTAAGATATATACACAATTATTCTAGTTGTCAAATTACCTCATTTTGGAATGAGATGAAGACTGAAATAAATATTTTCTATGTTCCTTAATGGTGCCATAATTCATAGGTCTATCATATTTAACTGTTGTTGGACATGTAGGTTATATCCAGTTTTTCAGTATTCCAAAGAATATGATAGTGACCATCTTTTTTACATGTAACACTTTTAAAAAAAAACTTTGTGTCTCCCTTTCCCCCTAACGTTTTCTTTCAGATTTTTTTCTTTAGGATAAATTTCTAAAAGTAGGAAAGGGACTTAAAGGTCAAACTCTTTAAAAATACATATTGCTAGAGTCATATTTACACTGCCACACTAATGTATATACTTTGATACTTTCACCAAAAATTTGCCAACAAAACGAAGAGCTAACCACAGAATATATTTAGTCTATGCCAATAAACTCTCAGATATTAGGAGAATAGTATAGGATAGGGGAAAGAATGCTGGCCCAACCTTAAGGAAGTTCAGATTCTACCCTGAAAGTTCCTTAGGATATAACTATGTGACCTTGGTCAATTTGCTTAACTTCTCTGTTCTCATAATTGCTTATCGGCAATCATATCTGCAAAATGATTGCTAGTGTGTCTTTTTTTAAGCAAAGATTTCTGTTCCTCTTCTTCCTTACAATGACTCATTGAATAATAGCTATCATTTATTGAGTGCCCTCTGTGAGCCAGAGCTTAGAGTCATTGTGTAAGCATGTTATGTACATTGTCCTGTCTAATTCATACACAAATGGGGGCATTCGGTACAATTATCATACTCAATGAACTGATGCAAAACTAAGATTAAAGCCAGTGCAATGGAGGCTGCCTGAGTTCTCATAGTTGTAATGGGGAGATGAGGGATTCAAAGGTCAGCTTAATTCCAACGTCCTGCAACTTCAACCATGCTACACTGTAAGGCCTTGGCATATTTCCTTCTCAAAAAAACCCAAAAATGTTAACCTTGAACCAGTGTTTATTGTTGCAGATCTTCTCTTAACACCCCAAAGATAAGCAAATTCTGTTCCATTTACACAGAGTCCCAGGAACAGCTGAGTTGCTTGTATTTTTGTTTTTACAAAAGCTTTTGTTTTAAAGCCAACTTTTGTTTAGCATGCTCATTTCTCTTGCTAAAATAAAAATAACTTCACTTGTCTGGCTGTTCTCAGTTTTTGCATTTAGTTCATTTAATTCATGACTATTTATCTTACTGTAACAGAACCTGGGATTTTAATTGGCATTCCCTTATATAGGTTTATACTGCTGAAGATTGTTGCCTATTACTCTGCCCATGGGGCAGCTTTTATTTAAAAAGAATCAAATTAAATTGCTTCATAAAATTACAGCATGTGCTCAGAAAAGTTTTAAAAAAATTCAGTGTGCCTGGACTTCATTTTTTATTAAGAACTGCATTCAGCAGACTTCCTGTTTCAAAAGTTATGGAGTGGTACCCCCTAGTGGAAGATGCAGAGAAACTTTAGTTCACTAGCACTGTAAGCTCCAGAGGCACAAAAGACAGAAGCGAATTCTCTCCACTCCCTGCCGTGGTGTGTTGGTTCTTTGTCACTAACTTACTGCAAAACAGTGGTCAAGGAGAGGGTGAACTCTCACCTGTAATCCCAGCACTTTGGGAGGCTGAGGCAGGTAGATCACCTGAGGTCGGGAATTCGAGACCAGTCTGACCAACATGGAGAAACTCCATCTCTACCAAAAATACAAAATTAGCCGGGCGTGGTGGCACATGCCTGTAATCCCAGCTACTCGGGAGGCTGAGGCAGGAGAATCACTTGAACCCGGGAGGCAGAGGTTGCGGTGAGCTGAGATTGTGTCATTGCCCTCCAGCCTGGGTGACAAGAGCAAAACTCCATATCATAAAAAAAAAAAAAAAGGGGGCGAACTGTGAGCACAGTTGGATGGGTTGAGTTGAGTTGCAGGGGGCAGTATAAAGTGAAAAATGGGACTGAGATGGGTAACAAGGTCTTAAACAGCAGAGGCATTAGGTATGGGATGGCCAGATTAAAAGACAGTTGGCAGGGTGCAGTGACTCACACCTGTAATCCCAGCACTTTGGGAGGCCAAGGCAGGTGGATCACTTGAGTCAGGAGTTAGAGACCAGCCTGGCCAATATGGAGAAACCCTGTCTCTACTAAAAATACAAAAATTAGCCAGGCGTGGTGGCATGCACCTGTGATCCCAGCTACTCGGGAAGCTGAGGCAGAAGAATCGCTTGGACCCGGGAAGCAGAGGTTGCAATGAGCTGAGATCACACCACTGCACTTCAGCCTGGGCAACAGTGCAAGACTCCATCTCAAAAAAAAAAAAAAAGAAAAAAGAAAAAAAAAAAAGGATAAACCAGCAAGGATAGGGTTGGACTTGAATTGCGTGGGTAGAGTTTGGCTGTAGGGGTTGTGCTTGGTGAGTTGGCAGGAGAGCAACACCAGAATAGGCAGAGGACAAGTTAGGTGACAGAATTGAGATAGAGGGAAAGGAAGAGCTCCATACTGGTAAGAAGAGAGGGGGTTGACTCAAAAGTGAATTAGGACCACGCCCGATGGCTCATGCCTGTAATCCTAGCACTTTGAGAGGCCAAGGCAGGCAGGTCACTTGAGGCCAGGAGTTTGAGACCAGCCTGGCCAACATAGCGAGACTCCATCTCTACTAAAAATACAAAATTACCTAGGCATGGTAGTGCACACCTGTAATCCCAGCTACTTGGGAAGCCGAGGCATGGGAGGTCGAGGTTGCAGTGAGTTGAGATTGTGCCATTGCATTCCAGCCTGGGCGACAGAGTGAGATTCTGTCTCAAGGAAAAAAAAAAAAAAGAGAAACTGAATTAGACTGCCCAGTGTGGCCAGTGAGAAGGGTTTATACCCAAAGTGAGGACTGGAAGAGGGAGGGGGACACCATGACAGTGTCTTGGAGCCTGCCAATCTTTTGAGGCTAGAAGCCACCTCCTCTGCCATCCTCTGTCCCCAGTGTAGTGAAACTCACTGGTTTGGGGAAGTCTTCACCTCAGCGACTTCAGACTGGCTTTATCCTCTGCATAGTGACTATATCTATTTGAAACTTTGGAAATTTCTTATTTATCAGGTAAATAATTAAACATTTCAAAAATTTCAGAAAGTTATCAGATTTTAAAATTGAATAAATATCTGTTGCTACATCAGAGCAAAGCCATATATAACAGCCATAAACTAGGGAGGGAGGGGTGACATACTCTAGGAAAACTGAGGTGTCCAACAAAGACATGCTTAGATGTCCTTCCCTGTGTGAGATCATCAATAAGCCAAATATGCATGCTCTCTTTTTTTCATTTTTCCCCCAGAACCACCAGGAAAAATGAATAAATAAAAATTAAATTTTAATTTTTTGTAGAAAGAGAGTCTAGCTCTGTTGCCCAGGCTGGTCTTGAACTCCTGAACTCAAGCGATCTTCCTGCCTCAGTCTCCCAAAATGCTGGGATTACAGGCATGAGCTGCAGTGCCCAGCCTTAATAAACATACTTTCAATTCCATTACCTAGGTCACTGATTCAAAGGTAAAAACAGCTCTTAGTCCAGCACCCTAGGAACCTATGTCATGTGCGCTGATCAATACTGACTCGTTAATATTCAATCTGGAGATCGTATACCCATGGAGGGTTGCAGGGGCCCCTGACTTTTTCTCTGAATGCTAACTCTGAATTCGTAATGGTTGTGTTTAAATTTTTAGTTTTCTTTCTGTAGGAAAAGTTCTGTGAGGATGGCTGCATTGTGTCACTTCTAAGCCAAAGTTTGGGAATCTTAATGGAACCAAGACTGTAGATGATACCAGGAAGTTCACTCAGAGCAGGCTCTGATGTGATGATAGGAGCCCTGGGAGCCACTTACCTACTTCAGCTTGATATTTCATCTGGCGATTCTCTTTGACTTAGTCGGAAATTTCTGGGATGCAAGGAATGGAAACTTATTCAAGTCAGCTTTGATAAAGAGGTTGTTATTGTTTAGAGATGAGGGATGTCACAGAAGGAAGAATTGAAGGAAGCAGATCTGGCTGTCACAGGAGTAGAACGTCATCAGGCAGCTCCCTTCTCTCTGCATTGTCTGTTGCCTCTGCTTCTCTCTGCAGCTCAGGCAGGCCATCTTCAGCAAGGCTCTTGGTTTTTGCACCTCCAAAGTTTAGTTTCTATGGCCTTTGGTTGCCGCAGCTTTAACTCTGGCACCAGTGCTATATCACCTTACAGGTGATACAGGCATGAACCACCACACTCAGCCCCACTTTTAAAACATTATTGGGTAAGCAAATTCCTTAATGAGAACATCTATAAACCCAAGTCATGTGTAAAGGAAAGGTACCAGCTTGATGAGGCTCTAGATCCAAAGAGGACCAGTTCAGGGAACTAAGCATGTATAGGCTGGGCATAAAAATCTTGAGGTGAACATAGTAGCCATCTTCAGCATCCTTAAAAGGCAAGGAGTGATTTTATTCTGTATTATTCCAGAAAATGAACCTAGAATACATGAGGGTCATTACCAAGGAAACTGCCAAGGCCAGGTGCAGTGGCTCACACCTGTAATCCCAGCACTTTGGGAGGCCAAGGCAAAAGGACTGCTTGAGCATAGGAATTTGAGACCAGCCTGGGCAACATGGCAAAATCTTGTCTTTATAAAAAATACCAAAATTAGTTAGGCATGGTGGCGTGTGCTTGTGGTCCCAGCTACTCGGGAGGCTGAGGTGGGAGGATCACTTGGGTCCAGGAGGTGGAGGCTGCAGTGAGCTATGATCGTGCCACTGCACTCCAGCCTGGGTGACAGAGTGAAACCCTGTCTCAAAAATAAAATAAGTATTGAGGGTGACTTTACACAATAGAACAACATACAAAAAATACTTCACAGCATAAGAGTGAAGGCAGAAGGAATATATTTTGTAAAATAGAATGGAGCTGAGTGAGAAGCTGGTTTGTGAAGCATCTGCCATGAAATCCTGTGGCCTTGCTGGTGGTTATCTGCAGGGCTGCCTCAAGTTTCCTGTGGCCAGAGAAGGGAAAGGATAAGTCATTGCATCTGTGAGAGAAAAGAAGCCATTAGCTCAGAAGAACTTTAAAGATTTCTGCCTCAAAGAATAGGAAAAATGTGGCCAGGAACAGAGGCTCATGCCTGTAATCCCAGCACTTGGGGAGGCCGAGGCAGGCGGATCACAAGGTCAGTAGATCGAGACCAGCCTGTCCAATATGGTGAAACCTTGTCTCTACTAAAAATACAAAAGTTAGTTGGGCGTGGTTGCGGGCATCTGTAATCCCAGCTACTCAGAATGCTGAGGCAGGAGAATTGCTTGAACCCAGGAAGCGGAGGTTGCAGTGAGCCGAGATCGCACCAGTGCACTACAGCCTGGGCGACAGAGCAAGACTCCATTTACAAATACATAAATAAATAAATGAGAAAAATATTTTCTGTTCTCCTTGGGATTCTCCCGGAGATGTTGTGAAATCAGGGAAAAATAACATCTTTAACAACATACTTACGGTAATTACCTCAGTCAGTTCTTAGGATTGTTTCCTGTAACATCTGCCAGAGTGAGACAGAATGGTGCTCGGTCAAAGCACAATTCAGAGGCCCCATGATCCGGTCTGGGTGTGCCATTCTGTGGGTCTCTGTCCTGATGTCTAAGGATGGGTTAGAGGACCTAACAGTGTTTCCAAGATGTCCTCTGAGGGGCAGCTTCCCAACATCCCATTCTCCTGTCCTTGGACCTCTAAGAAAGACAAGGTTTGAACAAGGATTCTGTGGTTTAGAGAGTTTGAAACGGATCTAAAAGAAATGAGTGCATTGCTGTCCTTCACATAATCCTCTGCAAATATCGCTCATTTCCCAAAGTTCAGTAGTTAAGGAGTAGCAGTGAGTTACAAGATTAAACATCCTTCAGTTAATAGGATTTCTTGAAAAAAAAAAAAAAGAAGATTAAACATCCTGATAAGTTCCTGGCACACAGAGCATCCGTGTTGCCAGTTAAATACAGAGCCATATGTTTTAATAAGCCAGCAAGCTAGGGAAGGATTGACAACTTCTTCTTAAAACTGAGGTACATAGCAGGGACATATGGTAGACAGAAGGCCACTGCACCTCAGCTTGGAGGTAGCCTAAGAAAGGACTGTCTGTCTGTGCTCAGATTCTTCTTAAGAAATAATTTAGTGTTTGCTCCAACAAGACAATATACCAAGTATGGCTTCAGTGATTTTAGCCTGAAAAAAATTTAAATTTCTTATAACCAATGTCAGTTTTATCCATAAACAAATCTCAGTAAGTCCCTTATAGAACATCTAGCTTTTTATACTGAGAAGGGTATATGTGCATATGTTTTAAAATAAAATATATATAAATTAGAAAGTTGGTTTTGGATTTAGAGAAACCAGCCCTTCTTTGTGATAACAATAGCTAAGATCAATTGTCTATTAATGCCATCTGGTTCTTCTTTTTTTTTTTTGAGACAGAGTCTCGCCCTGTCACCGGGCTGGAGTGCAGTGGTGCAATCTTGGCTCACTCCTACCTCCACCTCCCGGGTTCAAGCAATTTTCCTGCCTCAGCCTCCCCAGTAGCTGGGACTACAGGTGTGTGCCACCATGCCCAGCTAATTTTTGTATTTTTAGTAGAGACGAGGTTTCACCATGTTGGCCAGGATGGTCTCAAACTCCTGACCTCAGGTGATCCACCCACCTCAGCCTCCCAAAGTGCTGGGATTACAGGCGTGCGCCACCGTCCCCAGCTGCCCCCTGGTTCTTGATAATAAAACCATAGCATTGATGAACCAGAGAAAGCTGATGAACCAGAGGAAGGTCTCTGTATTTTTTGTAATTGTAGTAAACACTGTATCTAATCCTCAATGGACTATTACTCTTGACCTTGAAACACAGTGGTATTTTTTTTTTTTTTTTTTTTTTTGAGGCGGAGTCTCGCTCTGTCGCCCAGGCGGGAGTGCAGTGGCCAGATCTCAGCTCACTGCAAGCTTCGCCTCCCGGGTTCACGCCATTCTCCTGCCTCAGCCTCCGGAGTAGCTGGGACTACAGGCGCCCGCCACCTCGCCCGGCTAGTTTTTTTGTATTTTTTAGTAGAGACGGGGTTTCACTGTGTTAGCCAGGATGGTCTCAATCTCCTGACCTCGTGATCCGCCCGTCTTGGCCTCCCAAAGTGCTGGGATTACAGGCTTGAGCCACCGCGCCCGGCCGAAACACAGTGGTATTAAGTGCAGGTTTCCTACAAGTTTTTGTGGCTGAGGGTGAGAGTGGGGATGGGGAATCAATACTGAGCTTGCATATCTCGGCCGATAACTGATTTCAGTCATCTGAGTCAAAGATTATGGAAAGGTCAATAAAAACTGTGAGCACTCTTAGGTTCTTATCAGATTGCTCCACAAAATTGATAAAGAATTTAATAATGATCAGTGGTGAAATAGGTGGGCCTCTAGAACCTTGTGTAGAACATTGGCCCAAGAGTCCCAGAACTCACATTTTATCAGTCAGGAAGTGGCATGTATTTTAGATGAACCACCTAGTAAATTAGGAGGAGAGCTTAAAAATTACCTTTGGGAAAAATGTGACAGACCAAACTCTGGTCCAATAAGGAAAATTTTCTCATTAAAAATATCACCAAGGGCCAGGCACGGTGGCTCATGCTTATAATCCCAGCACTTTAGGAGGCTGAGATGGGAGGATCACTTGAGCCCAGGAGTTCAAGATCAGCCTAGGAAACATAAGACACCCTGTCTCTACAAAAAAATTTTAATTAGTCGTGTGTGGTAGTAAACACCTGTGGTCCTAGCTACTAGGAAGGCTGAAGTGGGAGGATTGCTTAAGCCCAGGAGATCATGACTGCAGTGAGCTGTGATCACACCAGTACACTCTAGCCTGGGCAGTGAGACCCTGTCTCAAAAAAAGACAAGCCGGGTGCGGTGGCTCACACCTGTAATCCCAGCACTTTTGGAGGCTAAGGCAGGTGGATCACCTGAGGTCAGGAGTTCAAGACCAGCCTGACTAATATGGCGAAACCCCATCTCTACTAAAAATACAAAAATTAGCCAGGTGTAGTGGTGCGCACCGGTAGTCCCAACTACTCAGGAGGCTAAGGCAGGAGAATCACTTGAACCCAGGAGGTGAAGGTTGCAGTGAGCCAAGATTGAGCCACTGCACTCCAGCCTAGGCAACAGAGTGAGACTCCGTCTCCAAAAAAAAAGACAAAACAAAACCACCAAGCTGGGTGCTGTGGCTTGCACCTGTAATCTCAGATACTAAGGAGGCTGAGGCAGGAGTATCACTTGAGGCCAGGAGTTCAAGACAAGCCTGGGCAACATTGTGAGACCCCCATCTCTAAAACAAAAAAGAAAAATACCACCAAGAAGGGATGTTACCTGTCTGCTCACAAAACCAGGTACTGATTCAACCTTTATTTCAAGAGTTCTGTGGGAATAGTGTATATGCACCAGAAGCCCTCCATAATATAGTGGCACATGATTAAAGAGTGAAAGTGGAAAGTTATAACATTAATAAAACATAAGCTAATCTTCATTAACCTCCCAAGAGGGCAACAGGAGAGGTACAGGTAGGTACCAACTGTCTGTTAGGGCAAAACCCTAAAATGCCTGATTGACTACAACTGCATGGACAGATAGACCTTCCATCTTCAAAGAGGGCCTGTCAGCTGGTGCAAAAGAAGCACCTGGCCCTTTTAGCTTCATCTCAAATGACCATGGCAAGGGCAACACGCTAGAGCTTAGAAGCCTGGCGGGCTAGGCAGCGAGTGTGACAGCAACAAAGAACAGGCTTCTGAAGGACTGGTCCCAGGTGTTCCAGAAGCAGAGAAAGGACTTCCCATTGTCCCCTCCCCTGAAGGTCCACACAGCCCACCTCTGGCTGACCTTACATTCAAGTAGATACGGAATCTTATCCCAGGACTAAAATGACAGCGTTTCTTCTGTCCACCTTGTACAAACAGAATACTCAACCAGAGACAAATCACTCAGTTCCCAAAACACCTGAAGATTTTTTAAAAATTGTTAAACATCAGAGCTCTTTATTAGAAGCAATCTGTGGGTGATAATAAATCTGCTTTTAGAGCTTTATTTAGTTAGATTTTTTTTAATGTGCTAAATAATAGAAGGTACTGCCAGCACCATCTCTGACCAGTCTGCAAACTTAGAGCATTCAGCCTCTGCTTGCAAACTGAAAAGTTAGTTTCCTAGACAGCACCTGTGGTCTGAACTTCAGTACTTCTCCAAGGAAAATCTTACCAGGAAAACCGCCTCAGAATCTGTCTATTAACAGAGCTAATAACCAAGCTCTTTAAAGGTAATAGTAGGTTTATATTGAGTTTTATATTTTCCATGTTCCGAGGTGGCCATTTTCATTGCATATGTCATCCCACTAATGTGGCTACACATATTTGTTTGTTGATGCCTGACAGTTCAGGTCAGTCAAATTGCCTGCCCCTCTCAGGCGGTGTGCTCTCCACTCCCAGAGATGTGGGATTTAACAGAGAGACACTAGATGGACATTGTTTGAAATTTTAGATTTTTTTTTTTGAGACAGAGTCTCGCTCTGTCGCCCAGGCTAGAGTGCAGTGGTGCGATCTCGGCTCACTGCAAGCTCTGCCTCCTGGGTTCAGGCCATTCTCCTGCCCCAGCCTCCCAAGTAGCTGGGACTACAGGTGCCCGCCACCATGCCCAGCTAATTTTTCCTATTTTTAGAAGAGATGGGGTTTCACCATGTTAGCCAGGATGGTCTCCCATCTCCTGACCTCGTGATCCGCCTGCCTCGACCTCCCAAAGTGCTGGGATTACAGGCGTGAGCCTCTGTGCCTGGCCTTGAAGTTTTAGATTTTTAATTAAATTTTATGTTGATTTAGGATCATAATTCCCATTTATTAATATTGTTATATTCTGATTCTTTATATCTAGTATATTAGCCTTGTGTCACCCAAGCATGTGATCAATATAACCCTTCATCCAAGTCATGAATAAAAATCTTTTAACTGTGATGGAATATAAGATGAGCATTGAATATATTGTAGACCTGTTTACTGTCATAATAAGATATCAATAATAAAGTGAAGACTGAATAAAAAATCATTGAATATTATGCATTTTTTATTCTATTGTTGTTACAAATGTGTTTGAACATAAACATAGAAAAAGGCCTGCAAGGAGATGCACCCCCACAAAAAATCATATCAGTATATATCTCTTAGTGGTCAGGCTACCAGTAATTATTTGCTTTCTTTTTAATTCCTGTACCTATCTTCTTTTGTTGCTCTGTTGCCCAGGTTAGAGTGCAGTGGTGTGATCTCGGCTCACTGCAACCTGCACCTCCTGGGTTCAAGTGATTTTCATGCCTCAGCCTCCCGAGTAGCTGGGACATGCACCACCATTCCCGGCTAATTTTTTGTATTTTTAGTATACACAGGTTTTGCCATGTTGGCCAGGCTGGTCTCAAACTCCAAGCCTCAAGTGATCTGCCTGCCTCAGCCTCCCAAAGTGCTATGATTACAGGTGTGAGCCACCATGCCTGGCTCCTGTACCTATCTTCTAAAAAATAATATAATTGATATGCAGTTGTTTCATAAACAGAGAACATGAAAAAGGATTCTATATTTAAAAAAATTCAAAAGAAAAAAATATCAAAGAGAGTCCTGTGGTTTTTAAAGGCCTTCCAGGTCTGAAAGACTGGTTTCAGACTGCCATGTTGCACAGAGTTACCAGAAAAGATTTTTAAAAACATCTCCCCTGGGAGAGTCACCAGGTGATACTGATGTTGTCGGTCCCTAGCCAGCTAAAGGACAGAGCCACCTAATTTAGCTATTGACACATCTAACTCTTCTGCCTCTTACTAAATGTGGGACCTCAGGTTACTTGAATTTAAGAAAAAAAAAATTGTTTCTCTTGAGCGGCAACATGCAATATTAACACCAATCCTGAAGGATGGTTGCAAGGCTTAAATGGAGTAATGCCTAATCCAGTGCCGGCACACAGTAAAGCCTAGTAAATGATACGTTGGTCTCCATAGCATCTAGCCCATGGTTCTCAACCGTATCCATAGGTCATTCCATGCCACAGGTCTTCCTTCTCCCTTTGCAGCATATTCTAGACCAAGAGGAAGTAAAGTAAGCAGTGGCTTAGTATGGATGTTACTGTTGCTGCCAATTTGTGGAAATCATTGTTTCAAATGCTCTCCATATAAAGTGATAACCCCCTGATAAATGACTTATATTTTCACCCTTTTAAAAAAAACCCTTTGCTTCTTTTTTTGTGGCTTTCCCATTGTGGTGGAAATCCCCCTTAGAATTCAGGTAAGCCCAGAAGTTCATTCAAGAAACATTTGCAGTTGTGCCTGAAGCAGGCTGCTAGGTATTGATATGATCTTCATTCCCCAAAGAACTTGAAGCCAAGTGGAAAAAACAAATCAGTAAAATAGAAGTTTCCACATCATAACATTTTAGAGGAATTTTTGTTGTTTTGCATATCTCACTTGCTGGGAGAGAGTAAAAGAGTAAACTTAATTTTTAAAATTCCTTTTTCAAATACAGCAGGATATTTAAAAAGCAATTCTTATGGGAGAGTTACCAATTTTGTATAGAATATGATTCAAACCACTTCAGAAGGGCTGAGATCAAAGAGACTTAATCTTGAAGAGGTCACAGAACCTGGAGGCATTGTCTGGGAGGCATTGTTCTTGGGGTAGCAAGCTTGGCAGCTCCTCAGTTGGGATCGGCTAAGCTGATACACACCCCTGCTCCTCCCATCCTTTCTCCATGTGTGCTGTACCTCTTACGCTCTTATGGCCCCAGAGTTCAGTGGCAGTGTGAGCAATGGAAAATTCCTTTGACCCCAGAACTGAGCTGTGAAGGTCATGCCAAGGGATGCATCTTTTCAAAATAGAACCAATGGATCTCAGCTCAGCTTCACTTTCTTTCTCTAAAGTCCAAGATACATTCAGTAGCCCCATAATCTCCTCTGTCTTGAAGGGCTGCAGGGAGAATGGTTAGAATAGTCATTCTCCATGCAGAAGACTGGCCATCTGCTAAACTTGTAGACATCAAGATAATATCCTTTTATCTATCCCCTTGATCATACCCTCCCTTTACAAAATTATCCTAAACATATTTCATCCGAAGTATTTCTAATGATTTTGTTTCTGTGGGAATAGTGTATATACATGAGGAACCCTATGCATTATAGTTTCAGGTGATTGAAGAGTGAAAGTAGAAAGTTGTAAAGTGCACATAAGTTATAGTTTCAGGTTTGTCATGAATTATTTTAATTTAAAATGTGATCTGTAGTTATCTATGCAGTATGATCATTTGTAACTCATGCGATTGTAACTCACGTGACAATGACTAAGGCAAAGATAAAATTTTTGTAGCAAGAGCAGTTAACTATGCAATTTTGAAACTTGTATTAGATTTTACTATTTTATTATTATTGTAATGTATTAGATTTTACTATTTTATTATTATTTCAGTTCTGATGCCCTTTTGGTTTATGGTTTGTGACCATTAGATGGCACTGTGCATCTCAAATATGGAAAGCACTTGGAATTCAAATGCTAGGCTATGCAGAAGAAAGTAACATGCATTAGTTAATATTTTCATGTTATGGTTTAAATCCGGGTAGAAACATTTTATTTTTCATAAAAAATTTGCCAATGTTATAGTTTATTATAACATAAGGAGAAATCTGGAATGTAATTCCACAGTCTCATATGAAACTTACCTTGCATACAGAAACTGTTCCTTTCTATATGACACAAGAATAATCCCTCTCAAACTTAGACTTGGGCCTGGGGCTCCTGAGTCAAATGAGAGAATACAACTCCTTCACCTCCACTTCAGATCATTGTGCTGCTGAGTTTCTAAGAATGTTGGTGAACTGGTATATTTGCTGCAGTGGTCTCCAACCTTTTTGGCACAATTTTTTCATGGAAGGGGAGGGGATGATTTCAGGATGAAACTGTTCTACCTCAGATAATCAGAGATTAGATTCTCTTAAGGAATGTGCGACCTAGATCCCTTGAACGCGCAGTTCAGGATAGGGTTTGTGCTCCTGGGAGAATGTAGTGCTGCCACTGATCTGACGGGAAGTGGGAAGTGGAGTTCAGCGGGTAATGCTCGCTTGCCCGCCGTTCACCTCCTGCTGTGTGGCTGGGTTCCTAACAGGCCTTGGGACTGTTACCCATTCGTGGCCTGGGGGTTGGGGACCCCTGGTCTAGTGTGTTCTCTCATTTGTAGGTCCTTATCACCAGAAGCATGTGCTTACAAATAGGACGCAAATTCATTTACAAATTACAAATCATCTGAGGTGCTAGTCTGAACTCTAGAAAAGAATACAATTAATTGGCTTTCAATCCCAGAAGCTAGCTGTATTACTCTCATCTTTAATCAGCTAATGGAAGATGATGTTACTGACATTTCATCCCCAGACTTCATCCCCTACATAGCACAGTCCTTGATACACCAACAATCTCTTTGTTGCCCTTAATCTCCAGCCTTCTCTCTTGCTGTACACCCCCTTCACTCCAGAGCTCTGCCTGAGGCCTTCTACAACTCCCCTGGAGCAGTCTCACTTGTGCCCAGGACTCCCGTTCCTTGATGGTATTAATGTTTCCCAGTCTGTATCTTCAGTCCATGTAGCCATTTCTTCCACTTGGATGTCTTCAGGCACTTCTAAACTTAACTCATCCAAAATAGTACTCACTATGCCCAACTGCAAACTTAGTGTTCTCTCTCTCAGGGAATGCCGCCATCATCAGTGACATGCCCCATGCAGAGATCTGAGAGTCAGGATTAACCTTCTCTTGCTCTCATCCCTCAACTTACCCAGGGATGAGGGGAGGAGCCAGGATTTGGAACCAGGAATTGCAGCTCCACATCACCATCCCTTATCTACAACATGATAGAGAAATAAGATACAAATTCATTTACAAATTACAAATTATCTGAGGTGCTAGCCTTAACTCTAGAAATGTGAAACACATTTTCATTATTTTAATTGAGGACACTAGTATCTATTTAATAAAACTTTGTCATGTGGCCCTGTTTCAGTATGTAGATATCTGAGAGTAAGAGAGTAGATTTTTTGTTTTTGTTTTTACCAAAACTCTTTTTTCCTGCTTTTTACTGTTACCAGCGGTGAATCCCTCTGGGTCTGCAGCAAACTCAGTTCTTGCCTCCTCAGAAGAAAGAATTTGACCACGGGGCATAAAGCAGAAAGATGGTGTAAGGCAAGTTTTAGAAGAGGAGTGAAAGTTTATTAAAAAGCTTTAAAGCAAGAATGAAAGGAAGTACACTTGGAAGAGGGCCAAGCGGGAGACCTGCGAGATAACGTTAGTGGTTTTACCTTTTGACTTGGGGTTTTATATGTTGGCATGCTTCTGGGGTCTGGTGTCCCTTCTGCCTTGATTCTTCCCTTGGGTTCGGCTGAGATAAAAGCACTATCTTATGTTCAAAGACCATGTAATGTAGGGTAAAGGAGAATAACTATATTTAGACCATCAGAACACAGTGTATAGGTGCCGTGAGGGAGATGTATACTGGGGCACATGGGTACAGGGAGGGAGAATTTAAATCCTCATGGTGGTTCCAGAAAGATTATACTGAAGAAGGGTCCACATGTGCAATGACCAGCCAGTGCCTGGGAGGGGCTGTATGCTCAGTTTGTTTATTGGAGTTATATGCATGCTCAACTGAGGCGTTCTTCCCTTACCAGGCAAAAGTTCCTAGAAGGTCATATATACCAGTTAAAGTCTGCCATGTTGCCTCTCAATCCTCATGCTTGAGCCCACTCACTCAGCTCCTGAGATCTTATTGGGAAGCTGCGGATCACAACTTTCAGGTTTTTTTCTACTGGGAGACTGCCTTCCCCTGGGGCCACCTGTGACCAATTATTATTTTAGAGAAACAGTGTAACAACCACCTGACCATCACTTGATGGTGGCCTGGCATTCCTGGTGGGGCAAGAGGAGCCCTCTTCTGCCCTGCTCATACCTGACTAGCTATCTACCATAACAGTACCACAGCATCCTTGTCTCAAAACCTTGCAGTAAACTTGCAACCTTTTGCCTTTCAGGTTTTCACCTCCACTTTCATCTCCCATGACACCTTTTTTTGAGACAAGCAAAGCCTCTCAGTTCAGCTTATAAATTTTTGAATTCACCCTCCCAACCTAAAATCAAACGAGAGCTCTGCAATTGGAACATAGCTACAGAAGTTAACAAACTGTATTGTTATTTGATATAAGAAAATGTGATCACAAACATATGCATTATTATAAAACCTATTTTAAAATAAACATTTCAAAGGACAAATAACATTTTTCAACAGTTTGAATACTGTCTCACCTTTTCAGAAGTAATACCATTGCAAAGATCCTTTCCCCATATGTAAGTTTTTCTTTCTCTTATAATCCAAAGCCTGTGAGTGTATGTCCAAAGTCTCATTTCTCTACTTTACTTTATCTCATAATATAGTTTTTCTTTATCTTTTCCATTTTTCATTTAATATTGAACTGGAGCATTTTTTAGCATTTCATTCAGTATCTGCTATGTAATCTTTTTGTTTTGTTATATGTTTTACTTTTTTGTCAGAGGTTTTGGAATACTTCTGTAGGATTTGTTTTCTTAGATAACATGTAACAGGAAGGGAATCAAATTTAAAGGGAAAAATGTTTAAATCATCTTCTCAAGACCAATAGTATATTCTGACTGAAAGAATCTCCATATGAATATCATTCAACCACTTGATCAAACAGCATTTATTGAGCACCGCTAAGCCTGGCAATAATATGATGGGCACTGGGAAAATGAGATAAAAGCACAGTCTTATGTTCAAAGATCACATAATGTGGGGTAGAGGAGAATAACTATATTTTAGACCAGCAGAACACAGTATACAGGTGGTGTAAGGGAGATGTATACTGGGAGACAAGGGAACAGAGAGGGAAAATTTAAATCCTCATTGATACAGGAGTTAAAAAGAAATAGGCAGATAGTGAGAGTAAGGAAGTCTTTGGTAAGGTTTTCCTTTTAATGAAAAGCAACCCCCAAATCATTTATTTTCTAACAAAAAGCAGCCTGAAAAATCGAGCTGCAGACATAGATAAGCAGGCTGGAAGCTTGCATGGGTGAATGGCTGGCAGCTGTGACAATAGGGAAAGGCTACCTGGGGGCTAGGCATGTTCAGCATGGCAGTTCCATCTTCCCTTTTCTTTGTCAACCTCGTGAATGGTAAAGAACGGAAAACGTGGCACTGGCAAGGTAGAAAATCCATTTGTATAATAAAAGAGTAGGGTGGGGTGGTCAGTTTCTTCTCCTGTTATGTAAGCATCACACCTGGTCCAACCAATCTTTGGGCCCTATGTAAATCAGACACCACCTCCTCAAGCCAGTCTATAAAACCTGTGTACTTCAGGCGCCCCTCTCTCTCTGCAGGAGAGAGATTCTCTCTTCTCTTTCTTTCACCTATTAAACTTCTGCTCTTAAACCCACTTCTTGTGTGTCCATGTCCTCGATTTCCTGGCGTGAGAGAATGAACCTCAGGTATTTACCCCAGACAGACAATGACTCTACTTCATTGTGGTGGTTCCAGAAAAATTACACTGAAGAAGGGTCACAAGCTAAATCTGGAAGGATGAATCAGCACAGCCATTATCATCATCACTGAAATAAATATGATTGGGTTTGAACTTTGGAACTTTTATTCAGAAGGAAAAGAAACATTTTTCAAATAAAGTTATAGGATATTTTTTTGCATTTTTGCATATATCTTACCTAAGATATCTCTTGGGACTTTTTTACTTCAATTATATTTAAGATTTAAAATGTCAGAATGTTTCACATTTTGTGTTTATGTCATAGTTTTTGGCATGCAACTTATGCTCAATTAAGGTGAAATGTGCATACAGTGAAATGTACACATCTGTTCAGGTACTGTGGCTCATGCCTGTAACCCGAATACTTTGGGAGGCTAAGGCAGGAGGATTGCTTGAGTCCAGGAGTTGGAGACCAGCCTGGTCAACATGGTGAGACCCTCTCTCTACAAAAAATACAAAATTAGCTGGGTGTGATAGTGTGTGCCTATAGTCCCAGCTACTCAGGAGACTGAGGTGGGAGGATCACGTGAGTCTGGGAGTTCAAGGCTGCAGTGAGCTGTGATTGTACCAGTGCACTCCAGCCTTGGTGACAGAATGAGATCCTGTCTCAAAAAAAAGTACATATCTTAAAGGCAAAATTTTATGGATTTACCAAATGATATACCCTTGTAACTACCACAAAAAGTTTATGATATAGAATTTTTTTCATCATTCCCAAGAGTTCTCTCATGTTCTCTTTCAGTTGACATTCTACATAGGCAACCACTGACCTGGTTTCTATCACCACGGAGTTTTCCCTGTTCTATTTCTTTAACAGAGAAAGGGCTATTCATATTTTCCATTTCTTCCTGTGTCAGATTTGTATGTGTTGTGTTTTTCAAGAAATGTGTCCAATTTATCTAAGTTGTTGAATTTATTGGCATAATGTTATGCACACTATTTCCTTACTATTCTATTAATAACTATATGATCTGTGGCATAAAACGTAAGCATATACTTATCATAAATCCTGCCTTAAGCAAATTATAGGCTCTGAAGCATATAGCATTCTTGCCTTTCCCAGAGGGGTCCACTTCAGTTGTTTTACACATTCCTTCTGAAGCAGTATACCCTTTCTTTATGGCATATAAGCCCTGGGTTGGGGTTGGGGGAAAGTGTGGGGATCCACCACCTCATCTCATGGCTGCCCTAGACATGGCTTCTGTTCCTAAGTTCCTATTAAAGGTTTCTTTCTGAGAAAATGGATTTGTCAGCCTCTTTCTTCAACATCTCAGCTACCTTAATTTTAGGGGGGGTAGGTTTGCATAGACCTGCTCTCTATGGAACATCCACAAATTTTGATTTTTAAAATTATTATTCAGGCTAAAATATCGTCTACATTTACTGTGATTTCTTCTTTAACTCAGTTATTTAGAAGTATGTTGTGTGACTTCCAAATATTTGGGAGTTTTAAGATATTGTTATTGATTTCTAATTTCATTCTGTTATGTTTAGAGAGCATATTCTGTATTTTTCAATCCTTTGAAATTTATTAAGCCACATTTTATATTTCAGCACGTGATCTATCTTGGCAACTAGTCCATGTGCACTTGAAAAGCGTGTCTATTCTGCAGATACTAGGTGAAGTATTCTCTATATATCAATTAGGTTAAGTTGGTTGATAGTGTTCAAATCATTTATATTAATATATTTATGTCTAGTTCTACAAAGTACACATAGGTGAATTAAAAATGTTCAACTATGATTATAGATTGTATATTTGTTCCTTCAATTTTTTTTTTTTTTTTTTTTTGAGACAGGGTCTCACTCTGTCATTCAGGCTGGAGTGCAGTGGTGTGATCACAGCTCACTGCAGCCTTGACCTCCTGGGCTCAAACAATCCTCCTACCCCAGCCTCTTGAGTACCTATCAATGCCACAGCTACAGATGCCTACCACCATGCCCACCTAATTTTAAAATTTTTTTATAGAGACAGGATCTCACTATGTTGCCCAGGCTGGTCTTGAACTCCTGGGCTTGAGCGTTCCTCCCACCTTGGCCTCCCAAATTTCTGGGATTACAGGCATAAGCCACTGTGCTGAGCCTGTTCCTTTAATTTTCATATCTTGCTTCTTATACTTGAAGCTTTTTAGTCACATAAATGTTTATATTTTTTATGTTTTCATGATGAGATGACAATTTTTTATTAAGGAATGTCACTCTTCAACTTTGATAATTCTTTTTGACTTGAAGTTTATTTTGTATAATAATAGTATATCAATACCAGGTTTCTTAGATTTGCTTGGTCTATGTTTTCGCTTCCTTTTACTTTCAACCTATCTGGATCTTTAAAATGCATTGCATCTCATGCCAAAGCACTTACTTGAATCTTGCTTTTTATTCATTCTTGCAATCTTTTTCTTTTCTTTGGATTGTTTAGTTCATTTATATTTAATATAATTATTGATTTGGTAGGATTTAAGTCTATCATCTTGCTATTTGTTTTCTGTTTGTCTCATTTTTTGTTTCTCATTTCCTCCATGGCTTTATTTTGGTTTATACAATATTTTTAGTATTCTATTTTAATTCATCTATTGATTTTAAAGTTATATGTCTGTATATTTTTATTTTTTCATGGTGGCTCTAGGGCAGCACTCTCCAACTGAATGTTCTTTAATAGTGAAAATGTTCTGTGTCTTTCCAATATAGTAGACGCTGGCTACATGTGACTATTGATACCTTGAAATATGGCTAGTACACCTGAAGACTGAAATTTAAATTTTATTTATTTTTAATTAATTTAAGTTTAAATTTAGTCACTTGTGGCTAGTGACTACCATAGTAGTCAGCACAACCTTAAACAGTCTATTTAGAGTTAATATTGTACTATTTCATGTGAAATGTAAGAATCTTACAATAGTACAATTTTGTTAACTCTGTCCTTTTTTTTTCTTTCTCCAAAAGCATTGCTTAAAATAAAAAAAAAAACACACGCAAACAAAACCCTCTGTCCTTTTTTGTAATTGTTGTCATGTATTTTACTTCTACATGAATTGAGAGTCCTACAATATATTTGTCTTTAAATAGTCTGTTGTTTAAAAAAAAGAGAAGAAAAAAAGTTCTTTATATTTACACATCTACTTACCATTTCTGGTGCTATTTATTACTTTCTGTAGTTTAGATTTCCCTCTGCTATCATTTTCCATCATCCCCCCCAAATTCTTCTGTTAGTATTTCATATAGTTTACAATGAATCCTCCCAGCATTTGTTTATCAGAAAATGTCTTTTTTTGTTTTCATTTTTGAGAAAATGTTAGAATTCTGGCCAGGTGTGGTGGTTCACACTTGTAATCCCAGCACTTTGGAAGGCTAAGGCAGGAGGATTGCTTGAGCTCAGGAGTTCAAGAACAGTTTGGACAATGTAGTTGAGACCCTGTCTCTACAAAAAAAAAAAAAAATTAGTTGGACATAGTGGTATATACTTGTAGACCTAGCTAATTGGGAGGCTGAGGTGAGAGGATCACTTGAGCTTAGGAGGTAGAAGCTGCAGTGAGCTGTGATTTTATCACTCTGGGCGACTGAGCCAGACATGGCCTCAAAAAAAAAAGCTGGGTTGATCTATTCTTTCAGTACCTTAATGACATCATTCCATTTCTTTTGGCCTACACTGTTTCTAGTATGTGATTCATAGCATTGTTCCCCTTATGTCTTTGACTTTTTTTTCTGTTTCAACATTTATTCTATATTTTTGGTTTTTAACCTTTTGACTACAGTGTAGCTGGTGTGTTTTCTTTCTTTATCTTATTTTATTTTTTGTATTTATTCTGCTTGGAGTTTATTGATTCTTCAATCTGTAGGCTGATGTTTTCCACCAAATTAGAGAAATTTCAGCCAATTTTTTTTAAAAATTTCACTCTACCCCATTTTCTTTTCCTTTCTTTTACTGAGATTCTATTTTTTATTTTATTTTATTTTATTTTAGAGATGGGGTCTCGTTCTGTTGCCTGGGCTGGAGCACAGTGGTACAATCGGAGCTTACTGCAGCCTTGACTTCAGGGCTTAAGTGATCCTCCCACCTCAGCCTCCCAAGTAGCTAGGACTATAGGCATGCGCCACCATGCCCAGCTATTTTTTTTTTTTTTTTTTGGTAGAGATGGGGGGGGTCTCACTATGTTGCTCAGGCTGGTCTTGAACTCCTGGGCTCAAGTGATCTTCCTGCCTCAGCCTCCCAAAGTGTTGGGATTACAGGTGTGAGCCACCATGCTTAGCCTTGGGACTCCAATTATATATACACTAACTTTGTAGGGTAGTTCCCGAGTTCACTGAGGCTGTTTACATATTTTTTCCAATGTTTTCCTTACTGTTATTAAATTATATAATTTCCATTGCTCTCTCTTAGAGATAATTGACCCATCCTTTTGCCACCTCGAAACTGCTCCGACCATCAGATAAATTTTACATTTCAGATATTTGCTTTTTATTTCTAATATACCCATTTGGTTTATTTCTTTGCCGATCCATCTCATCTGTTTAATCATGTATTCATCTTTTCCCATGCATCCTTACATATATTTATAATAGCTGTTTTAAAGATCTCATCTGCTAATTCCAATATTTGGGTCATCTTGGATTCTGTTTCTATTGACCATGTCTTATTTTGATTATGAGTCACATATTTCTGCTTCTTTACAGGTGTCATATATTTTAACCTACTGTTGAATATCGTTATAAAGGAGTTATACAGAGTCTGGATTATGTTATCTTCTTTTAAATGGTGTTGAGGTTTATTCTATCAGGCTATTAAACTACTAAAAAATCCTCTTGATCTTGTTAGGCTTTGTTTTGTTATGTATTATTATTATTTATTCTATGTCAGTTTTATCATTTGTCCTGAAACATGGCCCTTTGTCTGGGTCATGGTATTTACTCCTAAGGTGTGGCCTCTTTAGAATTTCAATTGAACGCAAGAGGTGCTTTAAAGTAAGGTCTCTCCATTTAGGTTGGGACAATATTCCAGTGTTTGCAGTACTGCACGGACTGTGATATCTTGGCCCAGTTCTCTTGTTCATAGCAACCATTCTCTTCTAGGCCTCATTAAGTCCCATCCTGCACATGGGCTACATAGGAACCACTGTGAAATCTTCTTTGTCCTCTTCTGCACACTCCTTTCTTTCTGGTATTCTGTCTTACAAATTTCAAGGATGACAACCACTCTAAACTTTTATCTAGATCTCTTCAGCTCAGCAAGACTTCCGTATTTCCTTGGATTCCACTTCCTTTCAGTCTAGTCGGTGTCCCCAGACAGAAAGCTGAAGAGGACACATAGATCACTTCGTGTTTCCTTTCTCTCAAGAATCACTGCCCTGCAATGTTTGTCAAGTGCCTGGAATCCGTTATCTTGTATATTTCTAGTTGTTTCTAGTGGGAGGATGTGACTAGCATTAGCTACTATCTATGGGCAGAAGTGGATGCCCTCTTATGTATGTTTTGGTGTATTGTCTACAACTTAATAATGTATGAAAACACACAATCACATTTTTCCTTTTTAAATGTAAAGATCTGTCTTTCATTACTGTGTCAGGCCACTACTCTTCATGATTATAAGTATTCTTAATCTGACTTCAATAACCATTAGTTTGTTGAAGTTCCTTTAAATGATTATATAATTAATTTTTCTAAATTATAATGATTAATAATTAATATGAAAAATACATCTGTATGACTCATTGCAGTTTTTACCAAACATTGAAAAGACATTTTTAAAGAGTTTAACACAAGATTTGGGTATAGAACAAAGTATATTCTAATATGCTTCTATTTTCTAAAGTGAGATACAATAAAATTTCAAGACAATAAAATCATCTGTACAAACCTTGTTCACTGATACAAGATTTAACTTGTAATTTTCTTAAAAACAACAGGGCCGGGTGGATCATGCCTGTAATCCCAGCACTTTGGGAGGCTGAGGCAGGAAAATCGCTTGAGGTTAGGAGTTCAAAACCAGCCTGGAAAGCATAGCAAGACTCCAGTCTCCACTATAAAAACAACAACAATAAATAACTTTTTTTTTCTCCTACTGGTTATAATTTCATGGGCACATCAAAGCAAATATCAGAAACAAACTTGCTACAGACATTGTATTTCCAAGAAAGCTGATACACATCATCAACAGCATCATAATTTATATGTTTTACTTTACTGTTTAACAAACCATATCAAAGCAATCTAAACAATAATGCTATTTAAATCAATCAATCAGATAAGACCTATTGAGTCAGTAATTTTCTTGAGAATACGACCTGCTCTGGGAACCTCTAGCCTAACATTCTGAAGACCCAGAGAATGTGTAATAAACAACATGCAGATACTCAGCTCTTATTCTGGCTCCTCATCTGTAAAATAAGGTTTGGTCTAGAGTTCCCTAGCACATCTTCAAATGGACCCATTTTTCCTGTGTTCTTCTGGCCTATCTTATTACAATGCTGGTTTTCGTTTTTTATCATAAAACATTCATTCTATACATTTATTTTCATCTTAAAGTAATGATGGCCATATTTCTGTGTGATTATAACAATCTTCAAATAACTATAAATGGGAACAAAAGCAAACATGCAGCTAAATGCCAGGTAATTTTACTTTATTATTTTTGAGTGAGACAGGGTCTCGTTCTGTCACCCAGGAATGCAGTGGTGCAATCAGAGCTGTGACCTTGAACTCCTGAGCCCAAGCAATCCTCCCACCTCAGCCTCCTGAACAGTCAGGACCACAGGTACACATCAGCACACCTGGCTAATTTTTAAATATTTTTTCGTAGAGATGGGGATCTCACTATGTTGCCCAGGCTTGTCTTGAACTCCTGGCTTCAAGTTATCCTCCTGCCTTAGTCTCCCACAGTGCTGGGATAACAGGCATGAGCCACTGTGTCTGGCCCCAGGTAATTTTAAAAGTTAAAATGTGTAACAATTATTCCATAAATATAATGCATTGAGTCTCTGATTGCTATTACATAAATGGACCAAAACTAAGAAACATAGCTTGTACATTTACATGGAAATATAGATGCTAGAATGATATCACTGCCTGCCATCAGTTATCTAAAATGGAGCCCAAGTTTTTAAAGTCATTTCCTCAGTAATGTTAACAAGTACAGGTGTTTCCTGATTTCAGTTGTTCGGACTCTTAAAATGAGTAACTCAGGGAAATGTGTAAAATTCCTTTGTTGACTTCCTTTCTCCTGTATCAAGACCAAGTTTCATCTTAGTACTCAATGTGGTTTTTGTACCATTGTACCCATGAGCTTATCATCTGCCTTTATTTTTGTTATACTCACCAGAGCACTTTTGTGTTTCTTGCTGCTTGTGTTATTTTTCAAGTGTTCCTCCACGTGTGTGTGTGTGTGTGTTTGTGTTATATTATTTTTTATTTACTTTTTGAGACAGAGTCTCACTCCACTGCCCAGGCTCTAGTGCAGTGGTACAAACATGGTTTCTTGCAGCCTCGAACTGCTGGGCTCAAGTGATCCTCCCACCTCAGCCTCCCAAGAAGCTAGGTCTACAGGCATGTGCCACCACACTGGCCCTAGTTTTAGATTTTTTGTAGAGACAGAGTCTCACTATGTTGCCCAGGCTGGTCTTGAACTCCTGGCCTCAAGCAATCCTCCTGCCTCAGCCTCCCACAATGCTGGGATTTCAGGCATAAGCCATCATGTCCAGCCTCCTGCATATATAGAATCTCAGTTTAAGTGATTATATTTGGACTAAAACAATGTGTCAAAAAGTCTACCTCTGAGCTGGGCACCATGTCTCATGCCTGTAATCCTAGCACTTTAGGAGGCCAAGGTGGGAGGATCACTTAACATCAGGAGTTCAAGACCATCCTGGGCAACATATTGAGACCCTGCCACTACAGAAAAATACAAAATTAGCTGGGTGTGGTGGTACAGCCTACAGTTTCAGCTATTTGGGAAGTGAGTTGGGAGGATCACTTGAGCCTGGGAGGTCAAGGCTGCAGTGAGCCATGATCGTGCCAGTGCACTCCAACATGGGTAACAGGAGTGAGACCCTGTCTCAAAAAATATTACCTCTGATTTGAAGGTTCTCTGCAAGTGGCAGGGTTGAGCCCCCTGTATTGTCATGGATCTGTGGCAGGGGCCAAAGGATGAGGCGAATGGGAGGGGATCTGTGGTAGGCAGGAAGGATGAAGCAAATGGAGGGGAAAGTGAGCAGCAGGATGAGGCAGAACTGATAACATTAATACAATGCTGTAGGGCTTTGCAATGTGCTTTAAATTCAGTTTCTCATTTAATTCTGTGCAATTATATGATTTGTCCAAGGCCATCTAGCAGTTTTTTGAGGATGTAAACCAAAGTCTTTGAAAGCTGTTGTCTCATATGCCTAGAGTTCAGAAAATCACCCAAATTTGTCAAATCCCAATATTTGGGCCATCTAACTCCCCATGCCGCCCCAAAAGGTCATGAATCGAAGATCTGAATTAACTTGCTATTACCTACTGGCTTCTAGAACTAAAATTATGTTGACTACTGTATTAGTCCATCTTCACACTGCTATAAAGAACTGCCCGAGACTGGAAAATGCATAAAGAAAAGAGGTTTAATTGACTCACAGTTTCGTATGTCTGAGGAGGCCTCAGGAAACTTATAATCATGGCGGAAGGGGAAGCAGGCACAATCTTACATAGTGGCAGGCAAGAAAGAGAGTGCAAAAGGGAAAGAACTCCTTATAAAACCATCAGATCTCATGAGAACTCACTCACTATCACAAGAATAGCATGGAGGGCACTGCCCCGCATGATCCAATCACCTCTCTCCCTCAACAAAACACATGGAGATAAGAATTCAAGATGAGATTTGGGTGGGGCACAGAGCCACACCATATCATTTCATCCCTGGCCCCTCCCAAATCTCATATCTTTTCACATTTCAAAACCATGCCTTCCCAACAGTCCTCCAAAGTCTTAACTCATTTCAGCATTAACTCAGAAGTCCACAGTCCAAAGTTTCATTTGAGACAAAGAAAGTCCCTTCCGCCTATGAACCTGTAAAATAAAAAACAAGTTAGTTCCTTCCAAGATAAAATGGGGTACAGGCATTGGTTAAGTACACCCATTCCAAATGGGAAAACACCCATTCAAAACAAAGGGGCTACAGGCCCCATGCAAGTCCAAAATCCAGCGGGGAAGTCATTAAATCTTAAAGCTCCAAAACGGTCTCCTTTCACTCCATGTCTCACATCCAGGGCACACTGATACAAAGAGTGGGCTCCCATGGCTTTGGGTAGCTCCACCCCTGTGGGTCTTCAAGGTACAGCCCCTTTCCCGGCTGCTTTCCAGGTGTTGGTGTTGAGTGCCTGTGGCTTTTCCAGGCACCTGGTGCAAGCTGTAGGTAGATCTGCCATTCTGAGGTCTGGAGGATGGTAACCCTCTTCTCACAGCTCCACTAGGTGGTCTCCCAGTGGGGACTCTGTGTGGGGGCTCCAACCCCACATTTCCCCTTTCACTGCCCTAGCAGAGGTTCTCCATAAGGACTCTGCCCCAGCAGCAAACTTCTGCCTGGACATCCATGCATTTCCATACGTCTTCTGAAATCTAGGTGGAGGTTCTCCAACCTCAATACTGACTTCTGTGCACCTGCAGGCCCAACACCAAGTGGAAGCTGCCAAGGCTTGGGGCTTGCACCTTCTGAAGCAACAGCCTGAGCTGTACAATGGCCCCTTTTAGCCACGGCTGGAGCTGGAGCAGCAGTGCATGAGACTCAGCGTGCCATGTTCCAAGGCTGCACAGAGCAGCAGGGCCCTAGGCCTGGCCCACAAAACCATGTTTTCCTCCTAGGCCTCCTGACCTGTGGTGGGAGGGGCTGCTGCCAAGATCTCTGTGTCATGCCCTGGAGACATTTTCCCCATTGTCTTGGCAATTAACATTTGACTCCTTGTTACTTGTGCAAATTTCTGCAACCAGTTTGAATTTCTCCCCAGAAAATGGATTTTTCTTTTCTATTGCATTGTCAGTCTACAACTTTTTCAAAGTTTCATGCTCGGCTTCCCTTCTAAACATAAATTCCAATTTCAGATCATCTCTCTCAAGTTCAAAGTTCCACAGATCTCTAGGACAGGGGCAAAATGCCATCTGTCTCTTGGCAAAAGGATAGCAAGAATTACCTTTGCTCCAGTGTTGAATAAGTTCCTCATCTCCATCTGAAGCCACCTCAGCCTGGGCTTCATTGTCCATATTACTATCAGCATTTTGGCCCAAACCATTCAACAAGTCTCTAGGAAACTCCAAACTATCCCACATCTTCCTGTTTTCTGCTGAGCCCTCCAAACTGTTCCAACATCTGCCTGTTACCCAGTTCCAAAGTCACTTCCACATTTTCAGGTATCTACAGCAGTGCCCCACTCCTGGTACCAATTTACTGTATTAGTCTGTTTTCACACTGCTATAAAGAACTGCCTGACACTGGTTAATTTACAAAGAAAAGAGGTTTAATTGACTCACAGTTCCACATGGCTGGGGAGACCTCAGGAAACTTATTTAGGTTGGTGCAAAGTAATCGTAGTTTTTGTAAACATAATTGTGTTTACCTTTAATGGCAAAAACCACAATTATTTTTGTACCAATCTAATACAATTATTGTGGAAGAGGAAGCAGGCATGTTCATCCTACATGGCGGCAGGTGAAGAGAGTGTGCAAAGGAGAAAGAGCCCCTTATAAAATAATCAGAACTTGCAAGAACTCACTCACTATCATGAGAACAACATGAGGGAAACTGCTGCTATGATCCAGGGTGGTTGACATGTGGGTATTACAGGTCCCTCCCTTGACATGTAAGGATTATAATTCAAGATGAGATTTGAGTGGGGACACAGAGCCAAACCATATCAACTACATAGTAGGATTTTATTAAATTAGTACTGAAAAGAAGCAGTACCTTAATTTACCTACCTTACTTGTCCAGCATTTTGAATGAACATTTGCTAAATTTCTGTGTTCAAAACAAACGATTCTTGTGCTTCAGCTTCCT